ATATATATATATATATATATATATATATATATATATATATATATATACACACATATATACATATATACATATACTTTATGTCCCTTGGGGGAATATTGATTTGGACTCTACAAAGCTAAACTCGTCAACACATATGGGGCACAACAGGAGCAAACAAAAGACGTTAAAGAGTACAGAAAAATGCAAAGCCGTGGTATTCTGCATTCTGTTCATCCGACGTCCATTTAAAACTGCTAGTGTTTGTCGCAGGATTTTGATTACTTCCACGTGGTACAAAGCAAAGGGCTGCTTACTTACTGTGACCTACAGCTGAGATACAGCGGAGGGTCAGACAATGGTTAACCAATACATGGAAGTCTGCTCTCTAGCCAGTGTCAAACACAACGGGTCACAGTGGTGCGATGAAGGTGACCTAAACTGTGGATGATTCCCTTCTCGTGCTCCTAGAGAGTATAAACTAAGTTTGTTTTAGTGAAATTCTTGCTTACCTATCATGGGTGTCTCAGAGTAATCAAGGCAAGTAAACCTACCATTGGATGCGTCTGTTTTTCCATGCCACTGTACCTTGATAGATGGATTCCTTACAATGCACAGTGTGATGGCAGATGGCTGTATGATGGCCCAGTGCCAATGATGGATTCATACTATTCCTCACTCTGTGGTTTACTTTACTCCATTTCTTCACTTCCCTTTCGCGCGGACTGATTGGTCGAGAAAGTTTACAGTTATTCATAAGCCATGTCAAGTCTGACTGCAGGAACTTCACATTACACCGTGCAACGTTTTCCAGTGGTTGTAGCTCTTATGCAATTTCTAAGTAAAGCAGATTGGGACAGGTGTTTTTAACTAGATACCCACGACACAAGCAAGCTATAGCTTGTAATTTGGCATATCAGCTTGCTGAAAACCACTTACCATATCTGATTACTGTTTGCCAGGCAAGTTAATGCAGAAAACAACCAGCCCAATGAATCTGTGCTTTATACTTGTTTTCCTTGGTATTGCGTGTTACTTTCCAAAAAGCCTCAGTTAGCCATGGAGCTCAGTATTGAGAACCACACTATATACATGGTATTATTAAATATGCCTTGCAAGAGGTGAGTGGAATACTAACCATATGAAATGAAAGTCCTAAATAAAGCTATGCATGTCTAACTTATCAGCTTTGCCCATTTTAGAAAAATAATTAGGGTTAATATACGTTCATATTTCTTTCTATCTAATGTTTTTTGTCTTTTCTTGTCAGGACGATGCCCGCCAGCTGTTTGCCCTTTCAGCAGCAGCAGAGGAGCAGGGCATCCTGCCAGAAGATCTGTCCAACGTCATCCAACGACTGTGGGCTGACGGCGGCGTCCAGAGCTGCTTCACACGGGCCAGAGAGTACCAGCTCAATGACTCCGCGGCTTAGTGAGTGCATTAATAACATCAAATAACATCAAAGCTAATTATTGTGCACAGAAAACCTCAGTGACCAGATTCATTACTACCAGCACTACTACTACTCCTCTTGTCTGCTTTAGTAGTTCAACATTTTTCTCTGCTGGATTCTATTTGATCATTTCTCATTTTGTTAATAATCTCAGCGTCACAGCACAGGCTGCGGAGAACGGCCCCATAGAGAGCAGCTGCAGTTATTAATGGTGAAGGCATTACTTTTTGGTTTAACCGGTGGCTAATCAGCAACAACATGGCAACCTCAGCCTCTCGCTCCGCGGGTCTTAATTACCTCAATGATGCTCCTTTCTGAGCACTCGGTTTTTTTGGAGGCGTTGTTATAATGCACCAGTATAATAACAGGGAGAGGGTGAGGTCATTGTGACAGGCTGCTGGTTAAAAGGTGGGAGATGGTCATCACGCTGACCTGCTGGGATGCACTGCTGCTCTGAAATGGAAATCCAGTGAAAACGGAGAACTTTAGCCTCGTTCACCACCAAGCTGCAGCAGGAATTAACTGCTCTGATTTCTGTTTCATACAAAAGGCCTTTAATAATACCAGGACACCTCCAGAATGTGCTGTAAAATGTCAGGGGAGTGTTAAGTCTTTCACAAATGATTGCTTTGCAGTCACGGCTGTATTTACCTTCCAGGGGGAGTGATATTGTTCTCTGTTTGCGTTGGCCGCTATAATCAGAACTTCTCCATTTTTGCTTCGCTGCTCTTGTTAAAGCCGAGGGGACCTGGAAGCCTACCGCTAACGGGTCGAGAGAGCGGTCAGTGTACGATGGTTCATCGTGACTTCATAGAGCGCTGGGAGAGTCGGTTGCTGTGTGAGAGGACTAATGAGTCTCGTACGAGACCATAATCCATGTCTGAGCACCTGCTGAGAGCCAGAGAAAGGAAGTGAGAGACACAGAAAGAGAGAGAGAGAGATGGCACCGCTCACATTAACAGAGACCTCTCTCTTCTCTCTCGCTCACTGGTTTGATAGAAAGGGGACATGTACTGTGCACTCTGAAACTAATGGATCCATCAGCCATTATTTCAGGAATGAAGACCTTTTCACACGTCTGGATGTGAAAAAATGAAATGGTCAGTCCTTCCACTGTAACTGTTATGTGTCTGCAGCAATATGAAGTCTATAATGGCTCCACATCAGTTCTCTGATAATTGTTTACTTAGTGACTAAAAGTGGTGATTGTAAAATCTTATGAAACACCCATTATTGATTGGTTATTGATGATTCTCTGTCACACTGCAGTGGAGTACTTTCTTTTATTAGAGTGTAAACTGACCAAATTCAATTAATCTTCAAGGCTTATAAACCCTGTGCCAAATCAAGCAGTGCTACAATATCTGATGTGTGGACTACGAAAGCAGCCTAAACCTCTCTCTCTGTGGGGAGGAGGATAACGATTAGACTGTCAAGCACGTGGCATGAAGTAGTGGTGCGGAGGCTCTAATATCTCCACACAGGCTCCGGCTGGCAGGGGATTACATTCAGCACCAACACTTTGTTATACAACCTATTCTTTTTTATGTAGTTGCATATTGTGCTGAAAGAATTACATAAAATACATTTGGCTTATTGTGTGTCTCCCATTGTTGCAATATAAAGTTGACTGTGGTCTTGTATTTAGTGCTTTTATCAGGTTTTAGGCATGCTGGCCTGAAAAGCCAGATTGCTTTATTTAGCTATGTTTATACACACACACACACACACACACACACACACACACACACACACACACAAACCAAAATATGCAGACAGTATTGTCAAACAAAGCAGAATGTCAACGCATTACATTGATGGGCAGAAACAATAGGAGTTTATAGGAGCCGTGCCTCGGCTGTCGTACTTTATCAGATGACTTAAACAAAAGTCTGTGCATATGAAGAGACTAGCACCTCAGTGTCCCTCGGCAGGATTTCGTGTTTACGTACAACATATTTTTGTGATTGGCTGTGATAGTGCAGTATGTGATGTACCTCTTTGCAATCTCTGTATTTAATAGCGTGGGTTGGTTCTCCCGGACAACATACCAGACAGAGTGGAGCTGTTGCTTTCTTTTAAGGCATTCAGAATGTCAGCAGGTACAAAGTTTCATAAAATGTTTCCTTAACTTATACACATTTGCAATGAATCAAAATGTACATTATATGAGATAATGATTCATGACTCCTTAAGAAAAATGTGCATAAGTGAGATGAAACGGGGTGGAGTGAGCGGAGGTAAAGCAGCAGCCTTGTGTGGTTCTGTGACAGCTCATCAGCTCATGTAATATGACTGAGTTTGAACCTGAGATGACACAGCGCTGTTTGAGGGCCACCTTGAGTCCTTCTCATGTCTGTGTGAAGAAACAGATGAGACTTATAACCTCGAAAAACAACCCTTAGACCGTAAGATGAGAAATGTACTTTATCTTGTTTATGTCCGTGTTCCCATCAGCTACCTAAATGACCTGGAGAGGATAGGCAAGCCAGATTACATCCCCACACAGCAAGATGTGCTGCGGACCCGAGTGAAGACCACCGGCATTGTGGAAACGCATTTCACCTTCAAGGACCTGCACTTCAAGTAAGAATCCCCCTTTTACAGTTTGTTTTTTTTACTCAACTGCTCGTTTGGTGAAACGCTGTTAGAGGTGAAAATCGGTGGATATTATGCAGCTCAACATTTCATTTATACCCTACTAATTTACTCAACAACTGCCTCTGCTAATATTCTTCCATGAAGTAAAAAGCTATTTCACACAGCAAAGGACATACTGTATATTGTATTTAATAGGTCTTTTTTTTAGTTCATCATGTAGTAACTAAACTGATCAGAGAGGGGGGAGATGCCTTCAGGCGCAGCAGGTGACAGCAATTATTTGATTAGGCTCAAGCTCACTACCTGAAGTATATCGAAGCTTTTTTTTTTTGGATAGTTCTAACGGTTGCCTGAAATATTTTTGCAGTAATAATACAAGTCGTTACGAGAGCAGTGAAACCCTGTTTCATCTCCAACACGTCCTCGGTGCATCACTGTGTTAATTGAAGATCATGATAACCGACTCAAAACCTGATCAGAAAGCAATCAGAAATGCATATCTTGTGAAAATATGAACTGCTGTTGACAATAATGATCATCGATGACAGATTTTGCCGACAATATACATATGTGGGTACCGGAGTAGTTACCACAGCACGATTACGCATATCAATAAAGAACTGAAGGAATACAAACTCATTATTACCCTTTCAGTTTGTTACTTTGAATGACGGTTTTCAGCCACGCTTCTCAGAAGTTCTCTTATTTCGACAATGTAAATGTTTCATCATTGTGTTTGTGTGTTCTGACATATAATCCCCATTGAGATAACGCCATAAAACCACTTACAAACACATTGTACCTGTTATATCTGATGGAAGCATGAGTCACTACTGCTGCTTTAACAAGACAGTGGAAATAAAAAGGTGTGTCCCCGTCTGGAATATTTAAGTCTCATATTTATGTCTTGACTTATTTTATTTCTCTTTGGAAGACAGTTGCACCAAATCCAACCAGCATATGTTTACCTCAAGCACCTCTTTGTTGCTGCGCTGCCGCGACATAGTCAGCTTGCGTAAGCATTGCTGGAGATGAACGCACTGTTGAGGTAAACAGTCTTAAGTGTCACTGTTACAACGAGCTCTGCTGACTCAGCGTAAAGCCGGCCCTTCGTGGGACTCAAAGTTCTTCTGTAATGAACCAAATTCTGCAAAGTGAAAACTGCTGAGCAGGAAGAATAAATGTGTCTCTCTGCGATGCTACGAATGATAACACTCCACCTTCAGCTGCCAGCTCAAAAGCTTCCTCTCAGTGTAAGATGGAGAAAATCCTCAGCGTGGCACTGGCCAGATGAGCATTCTCTCTCATCCATCTAGGTACGCTCCATCTCCATGAATAAGTCATGTTGGAGCTTAGTGAAAAAACCTGCCGCTGCCGTTTCTCAACCTGCCTTTAGGCCGCCTGTTGCCACAGCAACTGCACTGAACCAAAATGCCAACAAATGCCAGGAAAAATGACAAGGCCTGTGCAGCAGAACACCCCGAAGAGACGAGGACACAGAAATATATTCAACGTATAGACAGGGAGACGGGGATCTTGAAGCTTGTCAGCATGAAAAAGTGTTGATTCTCCTGTTTATAGTGTGTGTGTGTGTGTGTGTGTGTGTGTGTGTGTGTGTGTGCAGGATGTTTGATGTTGGAGGCCAGCGGTCAGAAAGGAAGAAGTGGATCCACTGCTTCGAGGGAGTCACAGCTATCATCTTCTGTGTAGCCATGAGTGCTTACGACCTGGTCCTGGCTGAGGACGAGGAGATGGTGAGTTAAGCTTACACTCCTTCAATAAACAAAAGCCTTGCATGTGTTTTGCAGTAGAGCCCATTCCCAGGATGTTACCAATGGTGAGGAGAGGTTGGGTTTCAGTCAACTAATTTCCTTTATGTGCCCTACTTGTGCTCTTTTATAATCTCTTTATCTCCACATTTGCGCCCGTCCCACCCAGAACCGGATGCATGAGAGCATGAAGCTGTTTGACTCCATCTGCAACAACAAGTGGTTCACTGAGACGTCCATCATCCTGTTCCTCAACAAGAAGGACCTGTTTGAGGAGAAGATCGCCCACAGCCCTCTGACCATCTGCTTCCCCGAGTACAATGGTACAGTCTGAACGTCTCAATACAAACCTTCCCTTTTGTTTTTCAGTTATTTAAAACTAGTCAAATATCCTGTTAATGGGTTGCGATACTTCCACTTCTTGTACTTCTTTGTTCCTGTAACAGAATCAAAACCAGGCAAAATCTCGCCCCAGTTTGTGCCTCTGACATATTACCATTACGTTTAAGCCGTAGACATAATCATCAGTTTGTCTGGAAAAATTATTCCCCGACAATCTTTAAAACCCCAAAAGGTTGTTGATTTTTTTTTACTTATTTCTTTATTTGCGACTATATTTACTGATGTTGTTTTGTACAACACAAAAAAAACATGATTACAGTATTTTGTGTGAGAATGTAAGATAATAGAAAGTAACCTCAATATAGTTGTAGTATAACTGATGATACGATTGTTAACATTTTGTTTCAGAGTATATCAATTAAGCAAAGACATAATGTTGTTTTGAGCAGACACTATCTTTTATCTAGACATTGAGAAGGGTCTTTCAAGGATTCTGGAGATGATTCCAGAACAGCAGTGTGGGTAGTTGATCTTTAGAAAAACAAATCTACTCTGTGTGAGATATGATGGTTGTACATGAGTGTCTTATGAAAACGTGACACTTTAAGCAACTCAGCAGACTCAAGCTCTCCAAACACTCTCTCTCCCTCAGGACCTAACAAGTACGAGGAGGCCCAGGCTTACATCCAGACCAAATTCGAGGACCTGAACAAGAAGAAGGACACCAAGGAAATCTACACCCACTTCACCTGCGCCACCGACACCAAGAACGTGCAGTTTGTGTTCGACGCTGTCACTGACGTCATCATCAAGAACAACCTGAAGGACTGTGGCCTCTTCTAAAAGCATGTCTGAGAACGAGTCAAGGTGAGTTCGGAGAAATGACTCAGACTCTCTAACGGGGCACAAAATGAAGCCTGTTTGAAATGACTAATTTTGTGTTTTTTTGTGCTTTTATTAGATTACTTGAAGAGTTCTGATGACCATAAAGATAGGGGGAATATACACACATCATCAATGACTGCACTGGCCAACCACGATTTCTGCTTTGATCAGCTTTTTATAAAGACACCTCACAGACTGAAAACCCGACGAGCCTCGCAGAATTTCAATAAATGTCGCTCGTATCGTTAACTCTTTGGGCTATGACCACAAAAATCCACATTTATTATTGTATTTTGGTTCTTTTTTCTTCTTCTTTATTTTCAATTACTAGAGGGAGGCAAAGGAAAACTTTTTTTTATATAAATGCATTCATTTTACTTTTAGAAATTCTGATGTGCAAATTATTAAACCTTTAATCACATGAAGCTTATTTTTTAAAAGATGAAGCACAGGCATGGACATAAAATATGATTGATAAAGGAAAGTGCTTTTTTTTTTTTTTTAAATAATGTTTACATAAGTTCATCATTCATAGCCAAACTGTGTATTGTTCTGCATGACTCAATATGACAAATATTAGCTCTGTAATCTGCACAAATTATCTAACATTCCTACAAAATGAAAATAAAAAATGTTAAAATGTTGAAAAGGAAAAAAAAAAAAAAGCTTCACATGCAGGGAAAATGATGGCAAAATCCTAACTGATATTTAAAGTATGTGTGTACCTAACATTCTGTCACTTTTTATAGTATCATTTCCATGTCTGTTGCAGTATGTTTGTGCCTCGACTTCTGTTTACAACCGATTCCTAGATATGCTTTCAGTACGCCTATATTTTTCTTGCATTTTCTGCCTAGCACCTATGAATATATAGTGATTATTAATGAGAGACGAAAATCTAATTCAGAAAAAGGTTAGTGTTTTTGGTAAATATTAAAATGCTTCAAAAAGTCTGATATGATTTAATTTAAATAAAAGTAGAGATCACCTGACTCTTGCACATTGTTTTTCCTCTGTTTAGTTACTTTTATGTTTTATTGCAACATACGTATTTGGTATAATGATTCAGTTCTATGCAGAAAACACAAGCACACAAGTCATGATGTAACGGCAGCATCCTACTGGAGACGAGTCATTAAACAGGCTGACGGCCCCATCTAGTGGAATGTTCCAGTACATGCCGTCCTAGGGTCCAGAGACGAAGGCCCAATCCCAATCTCCGGATTTTGAGGCGCGCTCCCTCCCTGCATTAAATGCAGACTTTGCCCAAGGGAATTACCCACAATTCATAGTAATGTGACTCTTAACGCATGGTTACCAGAGGAAGCATGGAGATGTAAAAAAATAAGGTAAACAAAGAGGATGGCACATGTGTTCAGCCTGGAATATTACATTTACTCAGAAACATTAAGGATGAAAGATGGAACATAAAATTAGAGATTATATTACACAGATTTATTCATTGAAGCTGTTTTGACAAAAATGAGAAATGGGATTATTTGAAATTGCCTCTCATCCAGTGAGGAAAGAGCCTGGAATACATTCAAATCAGGGAGTAAAAAGTAAAAATAAACACCCACAATTTTACACAATTTCACGTTGTGAAAGTGCAGTCCCATTCGTATTTACATCATTTCAAGCCCGTACAGTCTCTCACAGTCAACCATTTACCAGGTGACCTCAGACTTGCTTGTTCAGTCTCATTCAGCTCAGTTTTGCCTTAAGGTATGTTTTCTTTTTTTTTCGAACAAAATTGTGCCTTAAGTATAACTACCTAATTAGTAATGAACCTAAAACCCAATGACGAGGCCATCCCACTCTACACAGTTAAGGGATCTAGTCTCCAACTGTTTGTCCAGATGCAGAGCTGAACTATATCTTTCCCTTTACCTGCAGTTGTCTATCTCTGAACTGGAGTTTGTTGAGAAAATGATTGTAAGTAAGATTTATTTATAAAGCGCTTTTTACAGACATAAGTCACAAATGGTTAACAGGGGCAGAATTACAAACAAACTGCACAATGTGACCATATAAGGGCCAATAATTTACATACACAGAAAGTACAAAATTAAAACATGGTTTAAAAGCAGGCCTAGGACATGAGTTTAGTCAAATGCCAGTCTAAACCCTCTTGAGCTGATTCTGGAATGAATTCACAGAATCAGAAACGTAGGGGTGCAGGCAGAGCATTGCACAACCTTGGTGCTACTGCCTCAGAAGCTCAGACACCACGGGTCTTAAGGTGAGTGCGTGGGACAGACGGATAATTTAACATGTTATGTGTGCACGGGCGGGTGAAGTAATTCAGTCACATGTAGGAGCCTGAACGTGTAGTGCTCTGAGAATTTCAGCATGAAGACGAGGCTCATGTCTTAGTATTGTGGAAACCAATATTTGTCCTGTCATTTAAGTAACAGCCTCATTTTACAGATGTACATTTACAATATGCTTCAACCTGTCGCATGTCTCGATTCAGAAGCATATAAAGTGTGCGAGAGGCTGTTGTAATATCATGTCACAGAAACATATACAAGGCTAATACAGCATGTACAATATGAATCTCTGCATGTTCCCCATTGCTGCATGACAAAGCTAAATCAGTTACCGTATATACGTACTCAGCATAGTTTGACAAAGTAAGAGGGTTTTTTTAAACATTCGTTTTGAGAAATACACATCATAACTTGGTTTTGTTAAAACACCGATCATTTTGTTAGTACACTATAGATTTTTGACAGCGACCGAGTTAATGTTCATGTGTTGAGCTCGGGTTTTAAAAATAATCTTTAGCTAGTAGTGAGGCGTTTGATGCACAGCAAGCCAAAAACAGTTTTACAACAAATCATTTGTTTAATTTCTTTTATTGTGACATTTCAACAATCCTCCAAAATGTTTAAACTTTACATGAGAAATTGCTGAAAGGAAGACGAACAAATTGAGACATCAGTCTGTTCTAAAATCTACAATGTTGGAAAGATGAGGAACCCACTGAAGACACTTTTATGTATTTTTCCACCATTCCACAGGATGACGTTGACGGTCTCTCTGACATTCAGCTCAAGGATCACCGTGTTGCTGGTGGTGTCGCTGTAATCTGAGCCGGTGAATTCCCAGGTGGTCACTTGGTAATTCCCGTTCTTCATCAGCATGGCTCCTGAAGTGTGACCGTTGTAGCCGAAAGTCATGAATGAAAAGTGATAAACGCCCTTCAGTCGAGCAGTGAAGATGCCTGTTGAGGAGAATGCAATGACATCAACAAGTCATAAAAACACTTGTCCTACGTGGTTCTTAATACTTTTT